CGGCAACACTGGAAAATAAGCAAGGAATCCGGAAGCTCCTAAAATACCTCAATACAGTATTTAAATATAATATATTGACCGATATATCCTATAATTTCGAAATTTTCTTTATATAAATCCACCAGAAAAAAATAATCCATCTATAAAAAATAACTCCGGAAATTAGAGACCCACAGCGTAAAATTACCGGGCAAGGTAGTAGGTTGGTTTTACTTCAATTATATTGGATTAAAGCATAAGAAAATAATTATGTCCCCCCTGGCCCTTAAAACGATTTCCTTAGAAACAGTTCGAAAGGCCCTCAATTTCGTAATTAAACAGGATTTAATATTGATTGAAAATTTACCAGCAAACACCCATTAGACGAAAACTAAGCCGTACTCCAAAAATATATCGGTCTACGGGGGGTGGTAATAATAACTGACCCGATTATTAGGATAATGGTGACGATACTCCTGCCAATAACCAAATATATTAGAACGAGGATACCGATACTATATATTATAGACATAACCAGGATAATTATAATAATGATTTCGAAACAACATCTGCAGTTGCGGCCGAATACGATAAAGTATTTACCTTATAGACCAATACTTGTTAAAAAATGAACCAGTTTCCAGTAAGCCGTAGATTCTACCCCGTTGTGGCTGTGGTTCCCATTAGCGGAGGTAGTGGTGGCCCTGGAAATGGAAAAGGTGGGAAGGGCAAGGCGAAAAAGGGCAAAAGAAAGAGCAAAGTACGAGGTAGAAAGCAAGAGCTAAGACCTCTACCAAATCCGATTACGTGTAGAAAGGCTGTACTTGGTTCAGTGAAGTATTTAAAAGGTGGTCATGTTAGACATTATATATGTAATTGTTTTTAAGTTGCTGGTACTGGAAAGAGAAAAGCTGAGGAAAATAATATCCAGATAGTCAATGAAATTACCCTGTATTCCGATGATGAGGTTCAGGTAAATAAGGATAGATATAATAAGCCAAACGAAACCGTGTTTTGGGATTGCGGTGCTGCGAGTGTCCTTGTCTCCAAGAAGTACCTTTGCAGGTACTTGGCACTCCTGATGGCTGCTAGCTTCGACATCCATACCATCCCCGTATGGAGCTGCCTCAAGGGTTGTCGATTTAGAAGCAGTGTTTACAGTAAGACCAAGCTACGTACCGTAGTCCTAACCTGCTTCAGCGGCGAATAAAAGGATATCCTTGTGTATATCCTAGATGGACAGATTCCGTTCTTGCTTGACCGACCCTTGATGGAGAAGCTTGGTATTGAAATTAACTATCCCAGGCAGCAGGTCAAGTAGCTAAATGGACCATGGTAGAGTGTACTGCTTGGAGCCAAGGGTAAATATGTAATTCACTTGGGAAGTAAAATTCAACGGCTATTATATTCCCCTCCAGTTTCCGTCCTTATACCAATTATGGGACCGGATAACCCCACATGTCAATAACTTCAGCAGACTTAGACTGAGCTTAGAAAAGCAACAAGGGAAGAGGAAGTATGAGAGTGATGGAGGGGTGATGGTGGATGAGTTTTTAAATGTATATACGCCAGGTAACACCGGACAAAAACGTACCAGACAAAAACGTACCAGACAAAAACCTTACCAGACAAAAACGCACCAGCATAAAAATATACCAGACAAAAACGTACAAAACCAAAACGTTCCAGACAAAAACGCACCAGGCAAAAACTTACCAAACAAAAATGTACCAGATAAAAAATCTTATCAGATAAAAACGTACCAGACAAAAACGTACCAAATAAAAACATACCAAAGAAAAACATGCCAGACAAAAACGTACCAGACAAAAACGTACCAGCACAAAAACGTACCAGACAAAAGCATACAAAACCAAAACGTACCAGATAAAAAGGTACCAGGTAAAAACGCACCAAACAAAAACATACCAAACAAAAACGTACCAAACAAAAGCATACCAGACAAAAACATAACAGACAAAAATGCACCAAACAAAAACGTACCAAACGAAAAAACAGCAGCTAAACAGCAAATAAACAGCAACTAAACAGCATCTAAGCACAAGCTAAACACAAGCTAATTAGCAGCTAAAAACACGACAAAGAGCAGCTAAACAGCAGCTAGACAGCAGCTAAACAGCAGCTACACAGACGTCAAATAGAAGCTAAATAGAAACTAAATACAAGCTAAACAGCAGCTAAACAACAGCTAAACACAAGCTAAACAGCAGCTAAATACACGCCAAACAGCAGCTAAACAGCAGCCAAACAACAGCTAAACAGCAGCTAAACAGCAGCTAAACAACAACTAAACAGCAGCTAAACACAAGCTAAACAACAGCTAAACACACGCCAAACAGCAGCTAAACAGCAGCTAGACAGCAGCTAAACAGAAGCTAAACAGCAACTAGACAGCAGCTAAACACAAGCTAAACACAAGCTAAACAGCAACTAAACAGCAGCTAAATACAAGCTAAACAGCAGCTAAACACACACCAAACAGCAGCTAAACAGCAGCTAGACAGCAGCTAAACAGCAGCTAGACAGAAGTTAAACAGAAGCCAAACAGCAGCTAGACAGCAGCTAAACAGCAGCTAAACAGCAACTAAACAGCAGCTAAACACGAGCTAAACAGCAGCTAAACAGCAGCTAAACACAAGCCAAACACAAGCTAAATACAAGCTAAACACGAAGTTAAACGGCAGCTAAACAGAAGCTAAACAGCAGCTAAACACCAGCTGAACAGCAGCTAAACGCAAGCTTAACAGCAGCTAAACTAAACCCAAACAGAAGCTAAACAGCAGCTAGACAGCAGCTAAACAAAAGCTAAACAGCAGCTAAACAGCAGCTGAACAGCAGCGAAACAGAAGCTAAACAGCAGCTAAACACAAGCTAAACACAGGATGCTAACCGAGCTGGCTAAACAGCTGCTCAACAGCAGCTCAACACGAGCTAAACAGCCCCTGCCACGCAAAAGCAGCGGAGACCCAGGTACCCCGGAG